GTAAACCTATTTTTAAAAACAAGCACATTTTTATTGGGTATTAAACCATCTGGAGTATTATAGTGCCTCTGATTTGTAAATTAATGTCCTGCTTAGCTTGGAATCTAGCATCACGTGTGAGCCGTAGAAGGATGGAGAAAGCAGAGATGAGGTTCACAGGTACCCATGTTTGTTGACAAAGGTGTGTGAAGCCGGGTGGACCAAGGGTTGCTCTAGGGGTCTGTGAAATTTGTGCGGATTATTCTGACGGTTGTGGCTAGCTGAAGTTGGCTTCCAGTGAGACTTGAAGTAGCAGCAAGTTTCCTCACACCCAAAATGTGCAACATAAATTAACTCTGTTGCAAGAAAGAATAAATGAATAAGAATAGGTCAGGGCTGACGTTGAAATTGAGGCTCTGAGCTCAAGCTTGCTTATTGGAACCTTTTCGTAATTCCCAATGACTTTGAGAACTCTAGAATGCTCACAGGTCTTTGAGAGCATCTGCTTTAACTTCCTCATGTGACAACTGAGCAAACTAAATGCCAGCCAAGTAAGCAAAGGAATCAACTACTCTTGACTTTAATCGTATTAGTTCCAGTGTCAAATCAAGAACAAACAGTGCCCTAACATTTTCACAGAGAAATATGCCACAAATTCCTTGGCCTGCTCTTTGCCAGTCACTGAAAACCCTTGACAATCTGGCTCCAACCTGTTTTTCTACCTTATCTCACACGAATTCTTCAGAGAAGCATGGAGTTTCTGTTACACTCTGCTTCCCAGCCTCCCCGCTCTGTGTTGACACTGTATTCCCCCTCTCAGTAAAGCCCTCGTCCCTTTTCTCTGTCTATTTCAAACAATGCATCTTTGAAGGTACAACTAAAACCCTTGGTGGGTTGGTTATTAGCCAGATGTAACATAATGAGTGTCTTGATTTGGCTGATGGGTGTGGAAACAGAGTAGAATGCAAAACGCTTGTGCAAGATGGAGAAGAATGAAGGAGCCATGGGAAATAATAATTAAAAAATAATAATGGTGAATGCTAATTGCTAACATTGATGGCATGCTTACTATGTGCTAGACCCTGTGTGAACCATTCACAGATTCATTATCACACTTAATAATAATCTCAGTAACTCTGAAATGGTGTATCAGTTGGGATTGCATTACAGGTTACACATAACCAAGAGTTTAAAGAAGTCAGGTTGTGGGGTTTTTTTTCAATTGAGTAATAATCAGTTTACAATATTGTGTCAATATCCAATGTAGAGCACAATTTTTCATACATGTATTCATCATCACATTCTTTTTTGCTGTGAGCTACCACAAGATCTTGTATATATTCCCTGTGCTACACAGTATGATCTTGTTTATCTATTCTGCATATGCCTGTCAGTATCTACAAATTTCAAACTCCCGGTCTGTCCCTTCCCACCCCCCTCCTTCCTGGCAACCACAAGTTTGTGTTCTATGTCTATGAGTCTGTTTCTGTTCTGTATTTTACGTTTTTTTTTTTTTGATTCCATATATGAGCAATCTCATATGGTATTTTTTTTTTCTCTTTCTGGCTTACTTCACTTAGAATGACATTCTCCAGGGACATTCATGTTGCTGCAAATGGCGTTATGTTGTCATTTTTTTATAGCTGAGTAGTATTCCATTGTACAAATATACCGCATCTTCTTTATACAGTCATCTGTTGATGGACATTTAGGCTGTCCATTTTGTTTTTTGGGGGTTTTCTTTGCTTCTTCCATTTAATAAGGAGCCCAGCCCAGTTTTATGTGTGACTCAATGATGTCACCAAGAATCCAGGCTTGTTCTGTCTTCTTTGTTCTCAAGGACCTCCAGCAACATCTTTTTGGTCAGAACTATGTTTCATAATTACCTCGAGCGGCAAGGGAGGCTGTGAGATCGCCAAATACAATTTCATTAATAAGGAAGGAGGAGGCTATTTTGGTAGGCAACCTGCAATGTCATCTTCTTTCTACAGATGAGGGAAATGAGTAGAAGAATGCTGAGAAATAGTGTTGGAAGTAGGTCTGACAGTAGAGCCCAAATTATTAACCATTTACATTACATGGCACTATTTAAAAAATGGCTTTGAAAAAAAATTAAAAATAAAATAAAATAAAAAATGGCTTTCGCCCTGCTCTCCGCTTAAGATGGGGTGTGAACAACTGGAACGCACTTTGTGCTACCTTTTCCTCCTTTGGCACCTTCCCTTCCTCTTCGCTGCTGTCTTTTCCCCTTGAATCTCAGAGGGGAGGCTGCAGTTTTTGGTTAGGGCCGGAGGGAAGAAAACCTGTGCAGTTCTTTATTTTCTTTCCCATTTGAAATCCTTGATAATGGTTTTAGTAAACAAGAGAAGGTGACTTAATAGGATTTGGTAAATGATTAAGTGTGGAGCTTGACACAGAGTCAAATGAAACCTTAAGGTTTGATCACAAGTTGTTTGGATCATGGAAAATGCACATGAATAAGACAGGGGGAGGGTAGGGGTGGGAAGGGATAAATTTGGGAGTTTGAGATTTGCAAATGTTAGCCACTATATATAAAAATAGATTTAAAAAACAAATTTCTTCTGTATAGCACAGGGAACTATATTCAATATCTTGTAATAATGTAGAAGAATATGAAAACAAATATATGTTATGTACATGCATGACTGGGACATTTAATGTAGAAGAATATGAAAACAAATATATGTTATGTACATGCATGACTGGGACATTGTGCTGTGCAGCAGAAATGGACACATTGTAACTAACTATACTTCAATTAAAAAAAAAAAAGAAAGGGGGGATGGTAGAAGTCAGTGGCAGAGTACATGCTTAGCATGCACGAGGTCCTGGGTTTCAAAAAACTAAATAAGTAAATAAATAAACCTAATTACCTCCCCCAAAACAATTTTAAAAATAGTGTTAAACAAAAGAAAGGGGAATCATTAGTTTAATTTCTTGCGTTAAGCTTCAGGTGTTGGCAAAGCTTCCAGATATGTATTGATCATCGTGGGTGAGTCAATCGTAAAAAGCAGATGAGAAGAAAAGATGAACGTTCCAGAAAGAGATGATCCTGTCCCCACTGGAATAATACAGTGTATTTGTTTTGCTGATTTCTACACCTGTTTGTATCAAGGCTTTGTATGCCTGAGGATGAAAAAAGAGAGGGCAATGTTTCACAGCCATGAAGACAGTGAAACAATAACAATCTTTTTCTTTTTAATGACCAGAAGCATCCATTTGTATCTATGACTGCACTTGGGGAACAGACAGCATCTTATGAAACTCTTTCTACGAACCAATTCTGTGGATGAGGGGAGGGATGGAAGAAACACAAAAATAGGGAATTCAATCAGAGAGCTCCCATGAGCTATGACATCTGCAAAAATCAGCTTCAGACCTCGCAGCAGTGGGAAAGGGTGTGACTCGTCATCTCATGAATATATTCTTTACTCCAAGGATGGTAAAAGTCAGTGCTGTGTTTACTCTCCTGTCTTTGTCAGACACTGGGTGTTCTGATACAGACGGTGTCAGAATCTTCTTAATGGGTGAGACGTCTGAACTCTCTGGCCATGTCCTATTTTTTGGTGTTACTTAAAGTAACAGCAGCAGCAGCATCACCTTAAATTTTGTTAGAAATGCAGAATCTCAGACCCCACCCAGACCTTCTGAATTCTAATCTGCATTTTAAACAGGATCCCCACGTGATCTGTAAGTTTTGAATTAAAATTTCGGAAGCACTGATGTAGCCAGTTAAGAAAGTGTATGGAATGCAACGTGAGGTCCCTGGGTTTTCAGTAATTGTCGTAAGACAGTGATCGTTGGTCTTAATGGAATCGTGGGCTCCCTGGAATGTGCTGGAAACCATGAAATCTCCTCTCACAAGAGATGCACATAAGAACTTGAACGTGGTTCTTTACCTAAAGGTTTTTAGAGGGGTTCGTAGTCTCAAGGCTAAAAGCCAGGATCTAATTTTCCTTGTCTACCCTGGGGGAACACTTTCCAACAACCTGCATGTGAGAGGGCTGACTGAGGCATGAACACAGCTGTATTGTTGAGATGCTTCCATGTGTGTGCGACTTTTGTGAAGAGAAACAAAACTAAAAAGTATTTTTCCTGGAAACCTAGTCACTAGCAACTGACTGCATTTGTAGGTATTAGTGATTCATGTTACTTCCTGGTGAGGAAATAAAAACATTTAAATGTAAAATAATTTGATTTGGTCTGGACTAAAATGAAAAGAAATTTGATGCCAGACTAGAATTTGAAAGCAGCCTTGAGGGAAAAGACTCCAGCTTAATTCTCAAGCTCTTGGTTGGTTATTTTAATGTGATAAGAAAGAGAAGTTAAGAGAATATTTACATTCCATGACCACAGGAGTAGAGTAAATAAAAAACACTGTGAAGGAACAGAAATGGTCTTACTTAAATTTAAATCTGTGCAGGACCTGTCTCTTGTTAATATTTATTGAGAAGGAACAAAAATGTTAAGCACCTTAAAATCCACACATCATGGTCGGCATTTGAGCACAATGGAGTTTCCCCCTCATTTTTTTTTTTTTTATTTACTGTCTCCTACTTTTAATCATCAGAGAAACGTGGTCCTCACTAACAGAGGATTATTTCTCTAACCAATGGCACTCGCTTAGTTTCCTGTCAGTCTTCAAAATTATTCATCCATGGCCCTGGTAACAGTATCACTGTATTTTACTCTTCTTTATTGCCATATGTGCTGGAAAAATCCACCCCAATTTTTTTTTCATCTGATTTGCATCAGCAATATCTATTGCTGAGGATTATTCATGGATTACCCATAAATATTCAGAAGAGTGTTTCTGCGGCTCTTAATCTTTGCTACATTAGGCTTAGGGTTTTGTCTTCTAAAAATATTTCCATTTCCCTTCTCCCACTCAGCATAAGACTAACCCCAGCTTGCTGTCTGGTCAGCCAGTATATCTGCAATCCACAGAAAAGGCTCAGCAAGCCGAAGTGCACATACGAAAAGAAGGGCTTAACTCAACATAGAAATTGCCCTGCATTTATTTTTAAAAATTGAGCTTGAAGTAAACTTAAAAGGGTGCTCTGAAGGTTTCTTTGTGAAAATTCTCAGTGTGTTCTTTCATGTTTTCTGGGAGCTATCTTTTTGGTCATTCACATCTCCTTGGCTTATGCTAGTGAAATTTTTGTTACCGTCATTATTTGTTTTGTTTTTTGTGTTTTTCCCCCCTTTTCCTCCTCAATTCTTTTCCCCATCAAAATCCGCAGATGTCTGTCTCCTCTACCCAGTGCCATGTCCTTCTGTGATTTTCGCCCATGATTGTTCAGCTGGAGGTGAAGCCAAATCATAAACAGGAGGAAAAAGTTGGCAGAAGGCCACGATGTGTTTAAAACGGCTACGTTTAACACTGCTCTTGGCTTCTGCCTAGAAAATGACCTTCTCTCACGAACAGCCAGGAATCCAGCTACTCCAGCGGGTTAGTGACAAGTGAAAGCATCCAGGGGGCTTCTGGGCTGCTACCTACCCAGCACCTTGGAACAGAAGAGATGGGACAAAGGAGAGTCATAGATGGCCCCGCTGCGTTTCCTGCTGTCAGTGAGGAGGCCAGACAGGATCCAAAGTCATCTTGGCAAGTGAGCAGACCACAGGCAACGTGATAAAGCAGGTCAGGTGTGCCTGGAGCAGAAACCTCGGTCCCTGAGATCCAGAAAATCCTTCTTAATTACTGAGTCATCTCACTTTTAAAAAATTTTTTTGTTTGTTTTTTTGTTTCTGGTTCATCCTTCTGAGTCATCTCACTTCTTCAAGGACAAAGCTAAATGTGTAGCAGGCTCCCCACACCTGCGTATTTTTCTATGGTGCTTCCTATGATCTTAGTTACTATTAAGGAAAACTGTTGATTTGTATTCAATTATTCTGTGTGTGGTCACCATTTCAAACTCTCTTACAGACTTAGTTGTACAGCAACACATATTCTCTGGATTTCTGCACACAATGCTGATCCCGGCCCAACCCATTCTAATAATTATGTCTTATTTTAGTTTTATATTTCCTTGCATTGGTTTGAACTTTTGGGGTGGTGTTAAATAGCTGTAATAAATGTGGCATTGTTGTTATCTCCTTTTAATAGGAATGTCTTAGTCGATGATCGTAAGTTGTACACTATAGTGGGCTGAATTGTGCCCCTCCAAAAGATGTGTTACGTCCTAACCTTCAGTTCCATGAATATTAATTTTGGGGGGGAATAGAGTCCCTGCCGATGTAATCAAGTTAAGGTGCGCCCTAAATGCAGCAATCGTTGTCCTCTTAGGAGAAGGAGATTTGGAGACACGTACACACAGAGGGAAGACAGTCACGTGATGGCTGAGGCAGAAATTGGAGTGATGACTCTACAGGCCAACGAATGCCAAGGGTTGCCGACCACCAGCAGGAGCTAGCACAAGGCAAGGAAGGACTCCTCCCCAGAGCCTTCAGAGGGAACATGATCTTGCCAGTATCTCGTCTTTGAACTTCTGGCCTCGAGAACTGTGAGAGAACAGATGTCTATTATTTCAGGCCATCCAGGTTATGGTAATTTGTTCCTAGGAAAGTGATACAGATACTGTTTGTATTTTAATATAGATATTTAAGAAGAAGAACACTTCTTTGATTATATTTTAGAAAATTAACAATGAGTATTCTATTGAATATTTGCTAAATATGTATTTATTTATATAGTTTTTAAATCTCTCTCTCTCTCTCTCTCTCTATATATATATATATATATACTCATTTTTTGGTTGGGTGGGGAGAGATAATCAGGTTTATTTGTTTATTTTTAATGGAGGTCCTGGGTCCTGAACCCAGGACCTTGTGCATGCTAAGCATGCGCTCTACCACTGAGCTATATACCCTCCCCACTGAATGTCTTTATATTTTTTTATGCACAGAGATTATTTTATGTTTTTTATACTGCAGTCTTTTTCTTTTTCTTTTTTTGCTTGGCACTCTCCTCCCTTTTCCCGTTCTTCCCTGACTCACATACCCGAATAACTGTTCAATATTTTTTCTCCATGCTCAACCATATGCACAACACGTAGACATGTATTCATAAAGGTACAGTTATTTACATACACATAAACACACGTAAACATACCGGGGTTTTGCCATTATTTGTTTTTTTCAAAAATGAGCTATGACACATGTGACAGTCTGTTGTATGTGTCACCTTGGTTACTCCGTCAAACACTAACCTAGGCGTTGCTGCGAAGGTATTTTGTAAATGTGATTGAAATCCATAATCAGTGACTCAGTAACATGGGTGGGTCCCCCCCAGCTGAAAAATCTGAAAAGCAGAGCTGGAACTTCAGGGGAAGAGAAGAAATTCCGCCCTGGAGAGCAGCTTCAACCGGGGTCAGGGGCTTCCAGCGGCCCCTCTGGACAGCCTGCCCTCTGGACTCTGGACCTGTCTAGACAGCCCCCACCGCTGTGAAAGCAAATCCTGCAATAAATTCCTTAACATATGTCCCTACTTGTTCCGTTTCTCTAGTTGAGTCCTGACTGATACAAAACACTCTTTTCATTTTGCCTTTTTAGTTTGACGGTACTCACTCCCAGCCCATTGATTCAGTTATAGTTTATTCTTATTTAAAAAAAATTTTTTTTTAGGGGGGTAATTAGATTTATTTATTTTTGTAATGGAGGTACTGGAGATTGAATCCAGGACCTTGTGCATGCTAAGCATGCATTCTACCACTGAGCTATGCCCTCCCCCACTGTAGTTCATTCTATTTAACAGCTATATACTGTTCTATGGTGTGGATGTACCATTATGTTTTAACTATTGCCAGTTTTTTTTTTGTCACTACAGAAAATGCTACATTAAACATCTTACATTGGTGATTTTCTTTCCTGTAGATAGAATCCAAGGATGGTGAGTGCTGAGGTACGTAATTATGTAGGTATCTCCTGTTACTGGTCTATACGTATATACACAATTTTAATTGATGCTACTACCTTGCTTTCCAAACAGACTGGAACAACTCACAGCAGTACCACATTGTGTGGAGGCACTCTAACAATAGAGTTAATTTTAATTTAATTTTTTTCTGATGAATATAAGGTAATATCCAATAATTACTTTAATTTTCATTCCTCTGATGCCTGTCTTCATATATCCCGCACCCCACCCCCATGCCCGTGTCTCTACTTTCTCTTCTTTTAAGGACACCAGCCACTGGGTTAGGGCCCAACCTATCCAGAGTGACCTCATCTTAACTAATTATTTCTGCAAAGACCCTACTTCCAGATAAACTCACAGTCACAGGTCCCAGATACGGACTTGGGGAAACACGACTCAACCCATGACTAGTGTCAAACACCCAGTCACCCACACCGGCCCACCCTCATGTTCCTCCTGCCCCAGCCCTAAGTGTGAAGCTCTGAACTACTCCGGCCAGGCCACAAACTCCCTATTTCTCTGCAGCCCACCCTGTTCCAGCACCAGACATCCCCCTTCCTCAAAGTGCAGACCTGAAGCCAAATGACTGGCTCTTTGCTTTTTATGGACTATTATTTTGTTTTATTATTTTGAACTTACACAGAAAAGATGCAAAAATTGCACCTGCATCCCCATACACTTCTCATGCAGGTTTCCCATATGCTGACATCTTAGCCGTACATGCACATATATTTTCTTCCTGAACTGTTCGAGAAAACAGTGCAGATACACTTCCCCTTTACTCAGTGTATATTTCCTAAGAGCAAGGATATACTTTTATATATCCATGGGACTGGATACTGGTCAAAATCAGAACATTGATATTTATATAGTATTATTATGTAACCTACGGATTTTATTCCAACGTGACCAGTTATTCCACTGGTGTTCTTTATATATGTAAACAAATAAAAATTTTTTTCCTGGTCTAGGATCCAACCCAGGGCGCACGCTGCATTTAGCTTGAGTCTCCTTCAGTCTGGAACAGTTCCTTAGGCTTTGTCTTTCATGACATTAACATTTTCTAAGGTGAGTACAGGCCAGTTATTTTGTAGAATGTTGCTCAGCTGGGGTTCACCCATGGTTTCCTTACAACTAGCGTCAGGTGACAAACTTCTGGCAGGCGTACTGCAGGGCGGCATCCTTCTCAGGGCACCACATGCAGAAGCACATGGTCTCCATGGTTCTGTTCCTGAGGACAGTGACTTTGATCACAATGATGGTATCTGCCAAATTTCTCCACTGTAAAGTCATTATTTTTTCCTTTGTAATTAATAAGCACCTTTTGTGGAGATATTTTGAGGCCATGTTGATATCAAACCATCAAATTTTCATCCATTAGGTTTAGCCCCCATGGCTCTTGAACAGCTTGAAAAAATTGAATAATTGTTAACGTTGCTGCCAAATGATGTTTTCTTTTTCCAGCATTCCTTTTTCTTTGATTAGTTTGCTTCTTTCTGTAATGATGAGCTTTCCCTTTTTACTCATTGACTTTGTTTTCAACCTTTGTAGAGTCCTCCTGCAATGCCAGCTCTGTGATGCATTCAGAAAAAAAGTCTTTCACAAATAGTGCATGGGGCATTTTCGTTGCTTTTATTGGCCTGTCTGATCTGTTATACTGTTGGCAACACACGTCACTCTTTCCCTCTCGTTCTTTCTTCACACTGTACTTACTAGGCTTCCTAACCCTCCCCTGAAGCTGCTGCTGACAAATGACCAGCTACGTCCACCTCCATCTTTCCAGGCCCACTGGTTACCTGTTTTTATCTTTCTTTACCTCTCAGCATCATTAGCTGCAGCTGACAACTGCATCCTTCAAACACTGTCTTCCCTGACTTCTCTGACACTGTCGTCTTCTGTTCCCCTCCTGTTTTACTGGCCTTCACTATCTCTGCTTGGCTCCCCTGCTGTCTCTCACCTCTAAATTCAACAGCTCCCAAGAGCTTAGTCCTGGACCTTCTCATCTTCTCTATACGCTCTCTCCCTCATCTCATTAGGTGACCTTAGCTAACTAGATTTCATATAATCCTGTGTATTTGAGTACAATTTATAGTGTGATGAATTCTAAAGTTGTACTGCAGCCCTGATCTCTCCTTGAATTCCAATTGCCTCTACAGTATGTCCAATTGGATTCCTGAAAGATATCTCAAATTCGACATGACACAATAGAACTCTTAGTCCTGTCTTCCCAACCTCAGTTAAGCCATCCACATTTACTTGGTCACTTGAGTCTCAACTTTATAAGTCATTCTTTTTGTTTAATTGAAGTTTAGTTGATTTACAATGTTGTGTTAGTTTCTGGTGTAGAGCATAGTGATTCATGTAAGTGATTCTTGATCACTCTCTTGTCACTAGAAACCCTGACTCTGTTCCATTATCTTATCTATTTGCAAGTTCTTTGGCTTTGCCTCCAACAGATACCTGGTGTCCACACATATCCCCCCTTTACACGGGTCCTATTGCAGTCAAGATCACCATCATTTCTTGCTTAAAGCATACTGCATCAGACCCTTAACTATCCTCCTTGCCTCTCGTTTCTCATCCCCTCCTCCAACTGGATAAGCTTCCTAGAGCAGGGGAGTTATCTTTAAACAAAATAAAACAAAACACTGTATCACACCCTTGGCTAAAACCTCCAACTACTTTAAATTGCACTTAAAATACAATAACAACTCTCATACTATGGCCTCCAAAGCTGCTTAAGATCTGGCCCTTGCCTATTTCCCCAAGTTTCCTTGAATCACCGTATTTCTTGTCCTGTGTTCCAGGGACTCAGGCCTTCTCACGTTTTCCAGTGTGTTAGAGCGAAAACTTCATAAAGGCAGGATTCTTACGTGCTGTGTTTTCCCTTGTGTCTATGGTGTTAGCTGTCAAATCTCAAAGCACCTAGGACAGTGCCTGGCATAGCATAGGCATTCAATGAACATTCATTCACTGGAAGAAGGAATGAATATATGCATGCTTTTTTTTTCTCCTCATGCGTTGTTTACATTTGCTGGTCTCAGACTGGAAAGTTCTTCAAGATCTTAGCGTGGAGGGCGTTTTTTTTCCATCAAGTCTCAGCTCAAATGTTAGCATCTTAGAAGGGATTTCTTTGACACCCATATTTAGATTGCCAGCACTCTCCTCCCCTTTGCGTTTTCTTGCTTTATTTTCTTCGTAGAACTTATCGTCACCTGAAATTATCTTATTTATTTGTCAATTTTCTTGTTACCTCCAGTAGACTGTAAGCTTCGTGAAAATGGGGGCTTTTTGTTTTGTGCTGTTTCGTTTTTTGGTTCCCCATCCCAGCCTCATTGTTTAGAACAGCGCCTGGTACAATAAATTCTTGTTGTATACCAAAAGATGTGAATTTTACTGTGTGCAAATTAAGAAACTTAAATAAAAGGCAGATTCCTGATTCTCATTCCAAATCTTACGAATAAAAAAAAAATCCCTGGGGTGGTGTCTGCCTGTCGTAGTCGTGCCCTCTGAAGTTTTAGACAATTTCTCCAAGTCCACGAGGGTAACTTGGTCTCTTTAGTCAAGACAGCCTCATTCCTCACGGCAGTTCCCCCTTTTGAAAGGGTTCCTTGGTGTCATTTCCGGTCAGCAGATCTGTTGTGAAGATCCTAACCCATCAGAGAGGATTTAATAATGTTGAATCTCAAAAAGGGAGTTCTCTCTTGAGGCCAGGGGGTAGGGAAATAGACCTGTCCACCTCTGGCATTGTTCGCCTACTCCCAGTGACCCTTAACCAGTATCATCTTTCCCAAGGCAACTGACTTCCATGTGTCTATACATCCAGTGAAAAGGTAATAGCATCGCTCACTATAAAGTCTGCCTCATCAGGCCCCAATTTATACTTTCTCTTCAATTCGATTCAACAAGTGTTTACTGACAGCCCGCACAGAGCCTGCGGACTAACAAGACACGGGCTAGTCATCAAGTTGCTTACAAGGCAGTCAACTGCCTTGAAGTTTGAAAATCATAATGTTCTCCCAAATTTTCAACTTTGTTTCCAGTTTTTAAAATAAACGAAACAGTAAAGAGGATATTGTTGAAAGACTATTAGTCCCCCGCCCTCCGCCCTGGGTCTTTTCTATTCTTAAGTCTTTTACTTAGCTGTACTTTTTTCCTTGGTTAGCTAACAGTTTGGCAATTTTGTATGTTTTACCGTCATTAATACTTTTATCCGTTTAAATTCTAGTGTGCTAAGTATTTTACACGTAAATCTCACTTAATCTTCAAAACAAGGTAGCAAGGGAGACGTCACACGGACGGGATAACCGTCCCCTGAAGGTCCAAAGGCTCAAGGTCTCAAGACCTAGTTGCCGTTCGTATCAGGGGTGGGGACCTGGAGCTGGTTGTCTTGCTGCAAAACCTGACCTCGTTTGTCTGCATCTGGCTGCTTTGCGAAGTCAGTTTTAAGGGATGGGAGTATGTGGAAGCCTGAGGTTAAGAAATGAGTGAGTCAAGCACTTGGTTAACCAGTGTTGATTAACACTTAATGTTCCTGAAAATCGCTTCCTTTCAGCACGGTAAAGGGGAAAGGAGGACGCGCGCGGCGCTCCGGGGTCCTGCAGGGGCTGAGCTCAGACACCGTGGGCCGGGCCGCAGGGGCGCGAGGCCGCGCTGCGCTGGGGCTCCGGGCGCGGCGTGGGTTCTGCGGGGCGCTCCGCCGGCGGCCTCCCGCAGGGGCCCGACCCGCCCCAAGCCGGCGCCTGCTCGGCCCACGGGTTCCCGGGGCGCAGCCCTCAGGGGCTGTGCGGGGCTGGCGCGGCACCCGAGCAGCAGCCCCTCCTCCGCACCTGCGGCTCAGAGGCTGCGAGTCTCCCCACCTGGGCCGCCGCCGGTCCAGCCCAGCGGTCTTGACCCTGAATCCGAAGAGTCGGCTTCTCTGATTGGCTTAGAGCACAAACGCAGGTCCTGCTGCCTGAGACCCGCTCTTTGATTGGATTTTCAACGAACAGCAGAGCACGAAATAAAGAGGCCTTCAGTCATTGGGCCATTGTGTGAATCTCCTTTTGGCTTCTCCGCCGACTGAATAAGCGTCTCAGGATCTTCGTCATGAGTCTTAAATCTGGGCCTGTCAGTTCGCCCCAGAGTTACTTGTCTCTAGGCAGGGCATGGAGTTTACAGAGTCCAACCAATCATATAGCGCCGAGATCAGGTTGCCAGGCAGGTTATGCTAATAAGGCCCCGCCTTTTATGCTGCTCCCACTCTGCGGCGGGAAGAACCACCTGGAGGTGGCGGGGGGGTTTGATTTCCATCACCCCTAGGGAGAGAGGATCGGGGACCCGCTGATCTTCCAGCTCCCCTCACCCAACGTCGTGTAAGTACCTAAAGGATTAAGGGAACCGGATAAGCCAGCGGCCAGAGTACCCCATCGACTGGGAGGGTGTTTCGTCTTTGCTTAGTCCCACCCAAAATGGCGCCAAGCTCTTTCCGCGTCTCAGAGCCCGGCCGGGGCCAACCGACCGCGGACCCGGGTGGGGGGGGAATTGATGGTGGTGGTGGGGGGGAGAAATCCCGGCGGCACCGCCCGATGGTACAGTCCAGCCGGGGCTGGGACAAGGCACCTCCGTCGGGGTGGGGGGTCAAACCATCTGCACCTTCCAAGGGGAAAGGGGCAAAATGCCCTGCAGGAGCCCGTCCTGGCGCTGCGTGCAGCCATGGCCCCGGCGCCGC